CATTTTTTCTAAACTACTATTGTTTCGAAAAGTTTATTTTTTCTCCGATCTTCAGCAACTCTCAGCAGCCTCAGAATATATTTAATTTATTAAAGTGAAAAAAAAAGGATAATATAACTGATAATTATTAATATAATAAAAAAGTAAGTATTATAATATAGATAATTATTGTTTGTAAGTATTTTTTGTTTCGAAATTCTCAGTAGAATAGTAAAATATAAATTTTCAAACTAAAAACAACAAGTTTTTAACAAAGCGAATTTAGATTTGAATTGCTTTTTTTTAACTATTATCAGATTTTATGCAAATATGATATGCATATAAAATTAAATAGAATACTATTTTATTAGTTTATTAAATTTAATTTTTAGCAAAGGTTGCATTTTTGTTAATTTAGTTTGATTTCTAACTTTGTTATCAAACATAAGTCATAATTTAATAAACATTTCGTCAAATATTTTTTGATTTATTTATAAATAACCTTAGGTGTCCGGCACTCGGGGACTACCCCTAATAAAAAACATTATCAAATAAATTGGATGCTGTGAAATTGTGTGACGGCATAATACTTGCTCCTTACTAAATTCATGTTCTGTACCATTGGCAAGTAAATATGAAGTTTGTCAATCAATCATACTATAATTTGTAATACTCTAGTAATTTGATTTAAAATCATTTACCAATCATTTAAAATCATTTTAACAATTCATGTTTGTTATTTACCTGTACCAATTTTTTCTTTACTACATATTTAGTTAAAATTGGATTATCCGCAAAGAACGCAAAACTTGCGCTCTCACAACACAACTTTCTTTGTGCAATTAAGGCCACGTACGTAAGTTTTCGCAAATCTCTGCGATATTTTTAAAATTGCAGAAAAAGAGATTCGAATAAAGTAAAGTGAGATATATTATCATATAAAATAATCAAAATATAAACAACATCTGCAAATGTATTGCCAATCGTAATAAAGAATTCAAGTGGATCAAATAATCTCATTCCTCTTCTATATTAAAAGAGATTTTGAGCCAAATATTGATATTTGCTCATAAGAAATAGGGTCAATACTTAATAAATATATTATTACATTTGTTACTGATATTGGATATTGGCATATTGACATTTATTTTGATGTCTGAGCTCTAGAAGAAATAATATTTGTTCTCTTTCTGTGAATTTATTTTATACTCAATTTTTACTACTGGACCTACTACCTAAAATTACCCGACCGAAGTGAAATTGAATAGTTAGTAGTTATTTATAATCTTATATATAAAATTCTTCTATACGGGTGTATGATTTGATACTTCTCCTAAACGGTTATTCGGATTTTGATGAATCTTTTTAGAGTTTGTCAAAGAAATTTTTTAAGATTTAATGAACAATAAAACTATAGTAATATTGTAGAAATAAATGACAAAAATTACAAAAACAACACTTATTATTGTTTGACATTGAAAACATTTGAACTGTCATCTGCTAGAAATGTCAATTCACTTGAAATTTGAATTTAGCTGAAATTATGAGCTTAGATAATATTAGAATATAATATACAAGAAAAATGTAATGTCTACATTATTATTGCCGAAAAGCAACTGAGATGTGCCAGAAATTAAAATAATATACGATACAGTCAACAAGTATATATTTGGCAGATGGAATTATATAATTCAGTTTAATAAATAAAGCAACAAGACCAACATTGCATATACATTATCTTTTTAAACTTACGCATGCCGCATTTTGGTTTACTTTACTAAATTATTTAACAATAAAACAATATTTCTACTTGAAAAAAAAAAGATTTAGAATGTGTCAAAAATTCATTTGTTTGGCATTGGATATGGAATAATTAGCAAGTTGATCTTAGATTGAAGAGTGCTCATATAAACTATATTTTACAAATTAATTCACCTAAGAATTAAACATAAACAATAATGTTTATTAAATTATTAGTAAGAAAAATATACTTTAGAAATTGTAATTGGTAAAAAGCAACTAATTCGTACGAGATTATGAAAATTATAGACTAAATTATTGAAGCAATTATGTTAAATAGTAAAATCAAGTGTGATATGTTCCTTTAAGGCAAATACTATATTATTTTTTCTGAATTTCTTATACTGCTAATACCATAAATAAATTACAAATTACTGCTAAGACCATAAATAAATTACAAAGGCAGGACATAAAATAGGATATTAAAAAGTATGGGATAGGATATTAAAAAATTTGGAACTTATGAATTGTAGATGTGGGTACAGTCTACATTCATTTGATAAAAACAATATCAATTTGGATAAAAATCTTGGGGTATGAATAAATTCGGTAATAGGGATAATTTTTGTTGAAGTAACATAAAATAAGTAAGATTCTAATAAGAATACGACTGGTCGATTGCATAGTGACATATTCTTACCTTGAGTATTTTTAAAACTATTGCAACTCTTAAGAAATCGATCCCAGCCAAATTTTAAAATTAATTGAAAAAAACATTGTTAGTGTAAATAATTATATCTGTTTCCAACTATGTCCAACCAGCATAATTAATCCATTAGGATTTTCCAGTATGGTTGTCCTAACATATTAAAATTTATGGGGAGACTTAAAATAAGGATTAAGACTGCTATAGAAAATAAAGGGACGCCAGTAAGTTTAAAAAGAGAATAAATGAATGAATGGGTTGTGAATTAATGAGACAAACATTAAATGTTCTAAAGTTTCAATTATGGTGCTACAAAGGGGGAAGGCAGAATTTCTATGGCGCCCCCATGGGAAAATATAGTTCAACGAACTCAAAATAGAAAAAATGGGATAAGTTGTAGATATTTTCGATGAATTGTAGTTAAATAAATAGTAAGTGGCATTGTGCCTTAAGGTAAATTGCTGGAACTTCCCGTAGCGTAATGGAATATTCAAAGAATATTAAATGTTTTCAAATATTTTATTATAAATACGGTAACTTACATTCTTTGTATGTTATAGTCACAAAAATTGCAAGGTTAAAATTATTTATTTCAGGTATATTTTCAAAACTTGATTTCCTTTTTCTGCACTCTTTGCTTCGTATCTCTGAAATGGATAGACCAGTTTTTGCCAAAAACTAATCAGCACGTTTCCCCATCAGTAGGAATCGAATGTTTTTCAAATAATTCTAATCGATTGATTCATACGCCCGAAATCGTGGACGAAAAGTTGTATCTACACATACAGACACACATTCATTTTTTGTAAGGTATGCCAAAATGTTCTGAAATCTTTCAAACGCAAAGATATGGTAAAAATTTCTAACTACTAAGAATTGATATTCAGCTATTTAGGTAAAATGTTAAGCTGTTTATTTCGAAAAAATAACCACAACGATTTTCAATTGCATTCTTTCAAGTATACTTATAATATATGTAATTGTATAAATTAAATTGGTTTATTTACCAAAATTAATTTAATTCGCTTCGGGGTCTAAAAATGTATTTTCTTTAAATGTTAACGTAAACTGCAATCAATAGCTACTACGCAACACCTAGGAACGTGCATAAGTGCATGTACAGATTCTGATTAGACCCCCACGCGGGGCAAAATTCTAAACTTTTGACGATTTTTTATAATTCAACCGCTTGTCATAGACCTATAATATTTTAGTAAGTTATTTTAGACTATGATCTCTAACGTTATAAAAAGTTTCATCAAGATCGTCGAAAAAATTCAACGTAATTACAAAGAAACATCTCGGCCCGGTTGGATTTCCAACCAATATTTTTCGAATGGTTTTTGAAATTTTAAAATAGGTTCAAAATTGTAGGATAAAACGTGAACGAAAAATTTTACACTTTGCTACTAATTACAAAGAAACGGCTCGACTGATCGTAGCACAACATTTATAAACGTTAGACATTATCGAGTTTTATGGAATGAAATTGAAATTTTTGAACTCGGGCCAGAGGTTTTTAGGAAATCGTCGACAAAAAGTCAAAAATCGGCTCACATACACACACAAATACCTACTATTTCCAAATTTGGTCTTATTCGATACAGAATGACTTGAAACGTCGAGAAAACATAAAATTAGCAAAGGAATTAGCAACATTAGGGATTTTTTTGCGAAAACTATCTTCTCCTTCGGGAAGTTAAAAACCTGGATAAATTATACATTAAAAAACTGTAGTTGAATATTTAAAAAAAATTGTTAGGATCGATAAAAATAAATCTATAATGCTGATTAATTCAGGTTTCCAAACCTGTGGGGCGCGAGGTTCTTGCAAGAGGCCAAGAGGCACTACTATCAAAATAATATTTTTAAAAGAAAAAACAAGAACGTCGATATGTTATAAAACATAAAAGAATTATTAATTAGTTTTATGTATATTTTAATATAATATTTTATACAAATATGTAGCCTGATGAATGAATTGCCTGATGAATGAATTGTAATATCAATTAATTTATAAAGTTAGATTATTAGAAAAATTGAGGGGGGCGCAGCATAATTTTTTCAAAAAACGGGAATGCGATTAAATACGGTTGGAAGTCACTGGATTAATTGTTTAGCTATGAAATATTGTAATATCTGGATTGAAATTATAATTGAACAATCATGTGGTTCGTAATTTGTTAAATAAATATGTATATAATTTGCTAATTTTAATAATTTTGTATAATTAAAATATTTTATAATAACCGCATCAACCAATATTATTTTATGTTCTGTAAATAAATTTTAGAGCGCATTAGAAACAATGAATTGTTAACAATGGATTTTTAATTTTGATGCAGAATTATTTTTTTGAAAAATAAAATATGCAAAAAAAAAACATTTAAGAAATTTTATCGTTGTATATATATGTATTTGCCATATTGAGCCGCTAATCCTTTAAACTGCATCAAAAATCCATTACTCATAATGCACCATAATCATAATGCGACATTTTTACACGACGTCCTTCATTTTCTAATAAAATTTCCTTAAATTCAATCTTTATTCAATAATGACTTAATTAGCTCACCTTTTCCATGCGTTTACAATACCCCCATGTCCTCGCACTGTCGATTGATTTTTTCGACTTTGTTTTTGCACATTATCAAAATCCTTTAACAATACTCACACATTGACTCAAACGTCAAATACATAGGAAAATGACACACACACTGATATGAGTGGATAAACGTTTATATGATCTGTTTTACAGAACGTTAATTAAATTTATACGAAATCTTTATAATTAATTTCGATAAACACGCGAATCATAATAAATTCGAATGAATATATGATTTATACATGAACGCCCTGTAGTACAATGACGGCCATCTTGAACATTCAAGAACGTGTTGAGTCAATTTTACATGCTGCCACCTGTTAGGAAACAAATTAGATAAATTAGCGGGGAAATAGTTAATTGAATTACATTTAATTTACACACTTTTAAATTAAATTAACTTTATAACTTATAAAATTGAATCAAATTATGATCAAATTACTTATATTAATATATTTTTAGTGGCATGCCTGCCTAGTGCTGAGCTTAGTGGCGCCATCAGGTAACACGCAGCTGAAGCACCCATGTGTTTTAATATAAAATCTAATTTTTGTTCTAGGTTTATTTTAAAAAATTAATGATAATTGTGATTTGTTTTATCTAATTAGTCATAAATAGTCTAATAAAAACCTAATCCATACATTTTTGAAAAAAAAAACTCAAGCAAATCTTAGCTTACTTCAAGTATGTACTTAACTTAATTTGCTCTTATTTGGTTGGTCATTATTATGGCGTTAAATTTGTTGTTGTCAAACAATAAAGATAATTACAAAAATGGCGTCTTTGTTATAAAACTATGTATAACTTGTTGACAAATTACCTGCGAAAACAAGATGTATTTTTTTTTAATTTCAATACCGTTAGAAGTTATGGTTGTATTTCAAATTTGATATAGTAAATTTGAAAAGTGTGTGTTAATAACAAATAAGTTAATTATGACTTATTTGTGGTTGGCGCCATGGCCCCATGTGTCAAATTTAATATTCAAGTTATTACTTTACATGAACAGGTAAGTGTTACTTATAAGATTTAATGCTTTTAACACGTTATTCGCCACGATAATATCGGATTTTTACAATTTTTTTGGGAAAACGCTAATCCAGCGTTTTCCAACCTGTGGGACGCACCCCCTCAGGGGGGCACCAGGCTGATCTAAGGGAGGCGCGAACATCTGTTTCCAGAATACTATTATCGAAAATAACTCAACATTTTTGAAATAATAATAAACTAGTGGGGTGTATGGCATTGCACCTTAAGGCAAATTGCTGGAACTTCCCGTACCGTAATTAAAAATCTTAGTACGAAACCCAAAAAAATTGAGAGTCTATAACCGCTGGACCTCCTTCCCATAAATTTGAACAGTTCTTCGTTTAGTCAATATTAGTAAACTGTTATTTTGAATTATTCAAATCGGACGCTTCGTTCTCTCAAAAACTGAATCACTATTTTTGGTCCTTTTTGCCGCGTACTTTTGAAACGGCTAGACCTGCCTATGCCAAAAACTAATCAACACGTTTACTTATCAATACGGATCGAATGTTTTTTAAATGATTCAAATCGATTGATCCGTGTTCCAGAAATCGTCGACAAAAGTTTGTATCCGCACACACACGCCAAGGAAGAGATCAGCCGGAGCGTTTCTTTGTAATTAAACAAATATTTTATTATCAAAATTTTAATAGTTGCTAAATCTCAACACTATTCAAGAAACTATTCGAAAAATATTAGTTGAAAATTCTGAGTAGTTTTTGGAAGAGATCAGCCAGGGCGTTTCTTTGTAATTAAACAAACATTTTATCATCAAAATTTCAATAGTTGCTAAATCTCAACACTATTCAAGAAACTATTCGAAAAATATTAGCTGGGGATTCTGAGTAGTTTTTGGAAGAGATCAGCCAGAGCGTTTCTTTGTAATTAAACATTTTATCATCAACATTTTAATAATTGCCAAATCTCAACACTATTCAAGAAACTATTCGAAAAATATTAGTTTAGAATATTGAGTAGTTTTTGGATGAGATCAGCCAGAGCATTTCTTTGTAATTAAACAAATAATTTATCATCAAAATTTTAATATTTGCTAAATCTCTACACTATTCAAGAGACTATTCGAAAAATATTAGTTGAGAGTCCAGATTAGTTTTAGTGATATACATAAAAGCTATTGATTTTTCAATTTAATTAATATAGAATGATATATAAAATAAATAAATTTTCTATAATTTAATTTGTGGAAGCTTCGGTCCTGTTATCACAAGTTCAAAATTTAAAACCCTTCTTTAGGCAACCTGATATCAAGTAGTAATGATATCCATTTTTACTTGGAAATATAGATTGAAAATGGTTCTAAGTAGAAATTTACTTTTTGGAAATGGTGAGAAAAAAGTTACAAAATTGAAGTGTCATCACAACTGGACAGGACTATTGGGTTGCTTTGTAATAGCAATCTACAAAAAGGTGAAAAAATAATTTCTAAATATCTTTATAAAAAAACATATAGAATAAACATATAGAGTGAAAAAAATATTTTCATGAAATTTCTGTATTGCAATTAAAATTTTGCAAATAAAATCCACTGGTGGTATTTCGAAAGACACTCTGTTGAGTTCCCATAATTTTCTTCTTCAATAAAGACAATTGATTTTTATGCTCGAGTTTTTACTTATTCAAGCGGAACTAGATTTTCTCGGAAACAGTTATCCAAACTATTACGAAGAATTAGGAGAAAATATGTTTTTCCAGCATTAAAATGTTCTAGATCAGTTGTTGGCAATTGGTGACTGGAAGGCGTATAATAATAATAATATAAAGTAGGTGTAAATTAGGTCTACTGGCATGCGGAAAATAGATTCTGTTAGATAATATAAAATATTTATATTAGAAAATATTTATAAAGTATTTCAAATAGCAAGTATACCTATATAATATTTAAGATTAATAAAAGCTCTTTATTCGCATAAATATTTCGCGAAAACCTAAACTGTGAATACAAGATGGTAATTTGTATGAGCTCATATGGAACACATTTGTAGGTGACAAAATTAAAAAAAATAAAATATTCAAAAATTGATTGGTTGAATTTTATACAAAATGAAATAACTTATATTGATTTAGGGAAATTCGTAGCGCAGGTGGTATAGCCTCGACCTTACAACACAAGCTTCTGATTTCAAATACCACGACGTGTGCAACCTTATATCAAGCAGTAGCGATATAGATTTTTACTAAAAACTATATTTTCAATACAGCATTAGAGTTGATAATATCATCGTACTTCTGAAGAAAATTACTAAAATAGGTCGATTGGATTGCATTTTTAAATGCTATTAGTAGGTATTAATTTCTAAGAAATCATCGTCTATATTATGCTAATAGTTTTTGGAGTCTGTATCAAGTAGTTTTTCCATTTTTATTTTGGTTTTACCATTTATTACCATTTGTTACCAGTTTGGCAGTTTCTTCATTTATTACAATTTTTGTTTTGGTGAACTATTGACTTTTTTCAATATAGTCATGATGTTGTTTCTTACAATACAGAAATCTTTTATTTACAGTTATTATATGCATGATTAATGGATGAATTCATAAAAATATAAAGCGCTATTGAATATTTGTGATGTTCTTGATGTGGGATGTAAAAATTATGGAGTTATGTTACTCATCACTTGACACAACCTCCTACAATTATTATATAAGAAAAAATTACCGATGAAAGGATTAGTTTCAGAACGATTCTCGAAGTTTTCAATACTTTAAGAATAATTCCGTTCTTAGTTCTTTAATTTCCAATTCTTTACAAATAATATCCATGTCATAACCCAATTATTTTCCATTTCTACAAGTTCATGCAACTTATCTTAAGACAAATGCCATTTACAACTAGTTATTTTATGAATAGTATTCTATAAATACAACTTTCACATAAAATCAATGATGTGCATAAAATCAACAATACTAATGTTTATAATCATGTTTTATACAATAATCATTCCGAAGAATAAATACTGGATAAAGCTTTGGTCGTGGGTAAGTGGCTATAGCCACTTTACTTGAGTCAGATGTTGTCAATTAAATAAATTTTGGCCATAATTTTATTTTTTAATTTTTATATAGTATATTTTTTTTAACTTCTTAATGAATGAATAATATCTGTAAAAATTTCAAGCTTACAGAAACAAGGGTTTTTTGCATTTTCAAACTCCTAATATATTGACTAGAAAAAGAATATATAGATATATACTTATATAGATATATAGAGCTATATACTTATATCCAAGTCAATACCATAAAATTGTAAAGTTGATTGATAAATTATATATGACCAATGTACTTATATACGTCAAAAAAATAATCAAAAAAACTCCTGGTGGATGATGATCTGCTGCACTAAACAGCCAAGGTTGTTTTAATAAATAAATAACTAGTAATTCTGCTAAAAATCACAAGTAAAAAATATTTTAGCCTTTCAGGAAAACCTTTATTCAAACAGTTCAGTATCTTGGTCACGTAAACATAAGTAACGCCATTTGAAATGAAACAAATATTTTTGCGTCAATGGATTCCAATTTGTTTTTATTATCAAAATGACTTTTTTTAAATTTCTTTGAGCTGTTTTCCAAAAACAACATCAATCAAATGATTCCTTTTGTTTCGAATAAAAAAACTGCTTTTTTTGGCGTTTCCATTACATTCACCAGCATATCGGGCAGTATAGTTGCCATTTTAGCTCAAATATTATCTTTTATCATTCTATATGGATCTTTTATCATTCTATATGGACTTTTTCATAAAGACATTTAGAAATTATTTTTTCACATTTCAGCAACCCAATAGTTGTCCTTTCCAGATGTTTTTTTTTGTAATTGATTTTTTTTTAACTTTTTCTATTTAATTCCAAAAATAATATTTCTACTTAGAACCATCTTTGGCCTTCGGCTTGTTGGCATAAATTTTGCTCTTCAAAAATTCTCACAAAAAGAAATCTAGCGGTATATATATATATATATATATATATATATTGCTTATATATATATATATATATATATATATATATATATATATATAAGCAATAGCTTTCGATATTACCTTTTGAAAAATCTATTACTTTTTACAGTAACTCGGTTAAATCATTCATGCGTATAGTTATGCAGATTTTAGACGAATCGCTACAGAATCTTTTTTATACAAATAAAATGAAGCATACAGTTTTATGATTTTATTTCACGGTATTTCAAGTCAATCTATA